CCTCGGAGCCCGCTGAGGAGAGGTGAGGCGGCCCCCGCTGCGGCGCCGGCTGGAGGGTCGTGCCGCTTCCTGCGTGCCCCCCTGGAGCGGGGGGACCTTTCTCCCCCGGTGACGAACGGCGGCGGCAGGCGCGGGCAGCTGGTGGGAGCGGGCTGGGTCTGGGGCCGGCGGGCAGGCACCCTCGCCTCGCCCCGCTCGGTAAGCGCTACCTGTGCCTTGTTTTTCCTCTCCCCGTAGGACGGTCCCGCGCCCTCCGCTGTGAAGAGAATGGCCGTGACTCTAGAGCAGGCCCAGCGGGTGGGCTATACCTGTCTGAAAGCACTCCTCAGGTTCGCTTTTATGGTCGCCAATAACCTGGTTGCTATTCCGTCCTACGTCTTGTATTTAATTATGCTGCAGCCTCTCCGAGTGTTGGATAGCAAAAGCTTCTGGTATATCGAAGGAGTATTATTTAAGTGGCTTTTAGCTATGGTGGCTTCCTGGGGCTGGTGGGCAGGATATACAGGTAAGAATGTCTTCTTAATTTAAAATGTACAAATATAAAGATGTAACTAAGTGTTAAAACATAGATGTTTTCATATGGGGACGTGTAGGGGAATATCTAAATATAGTGGATGTGTGGATGTTTTTCTTTCAGGTTTCTTACACAGATGCATTGTATTTCTGGATTGAGATGCTGAGTGTACTGAAACGTTTTTTTAATTCGTAGGTACAAACTTATTATGTGCTAAGTAAGAGTTTCTCAATCAATATTTTGTCTTGGTATAATCAGAAATACGATTTTTCCTAAGTATCTTGATCGCTTTATTTTAGCATTACACGAAAAAGGTACATCTCTTCAAAAGAGAGTTGATTCGTACTGTGCATGTAGCTGATAGAGCCAAACTTTTCTTTATTAAGTCTGTGTATCTCTAAATCATCTCCACTTAAAACTATCAGGACATAAGGCTGAGAAGTTTGACACGAAGCTCGTGTCAGAAGAGTAGGTCTTCTATTCCTTGCAACAGTGACTGTCTTTTCTGCTGCTTCAGAATGGAAGGAAACAGAGGGAAGCTCTTTCATACAAATAGTGATACGCAATGTTTCTCGACTGTATGGCTCTTCATTTACTGTTAGCAGAGCTAATTACAGAATCTGTAGGTTTTTTTCCCCTCTGCATGCTTGCTTTGCAGTTATTATTGAACTTATTTTTGCTTGTTAGTATTCATAGGCTCATCAAGGTGATGGACTGAACTGAAATATTAAGGAAGGCTCTAGTCTTGTCCTTGAATGCACTGATTTTCATCCTGGCTACTGCACTTTGTGCAAGAAAACAGCCATCAATTCTTTGTATGTGCTTAGACCTTGGAAAGGGGAGGAAATTGATCTACTGAGTGCAAAATATGAACAGTCCTCCTAAAATTCTTTCCCTCTCTTCTGCCCAGGCTGCATCCACAGGTCTTGTCCATGTAAACAAGGAAAAAAAGGAATGGCAGCACACAGCTCTGGAGTCTGGTCAGACTCCTGATTAGTCAGAAAGTCAGTGTTGACCCAGATGGAGTGCTTTTTTTGTTAGGCTACAAGAGCTGAAGCCTCTGTGATAATGTGCCTTTTTGGTACCCTGTCGTGTGCCTTTCCGAGATGCACAAAGTTTCTGTGGATACTCTAGGTGAGCTTCCAGTTCTTCTTAAGGAGATGGTGGCAGCAGCAAGCTAGATTCTGGTCTATGGGGCTAGAACTGTCGCAATGTTGCACTGCTTCAAAATTGCCTTGCCTGGTACAGCTCAAGCTTTTCCAGATACGCTGTTTTAAAAATCTTTTTATATGTTTGTATTTGCTCATTAAAAGAAGTCCACATAGTATTTGCAGTGGCAGGTATGTTTTTAAAAGTCTACTTTATGCCTTAAAGCACAAAGGCCTTCCAGAAGGAAGGATTGACTTTCAAGGCGTAATGTGTATTATTAATTGGAAATGGGAAAGTTTATGGGCATAATGGTAATGTTAAAGTCATACAGCATATGACCCCGGGGATTCGCTGTGTATATTGAACGTGCTAGTTAAAATTCAAGCCATTGTCCCATGACAATATGGTTGTCAATTTTTGAAAGCAGTTTCCTTGGGATAGTTTTACTGCTGACTGCAGAACTGTGTGGTTTCTTTTGCCTATTGCTTGGAAAGTGGTCTTAGCATGATCTGCATATCCTAGAGTCTTCCTGAAGCATCTGTTGATTGGTGTTGCTGATGTATCTTGACAATTTGAAATCCTTTGTTTTACAGTCTTGAAATGTCTTAGTATGTTTGTTTGAAGTATCATTTACAAACAGCTACACAGAAGTGTTTTCTGGGATGATGTATGGGTAAGGAGGCCCTTCTTTTCGCTTTTCACTATAGAGCATGGCTTTTGTTTTGGGGAGGATTTTAAGCGAACGCTTGTACGAAGTCTCACTTTAAATATATTTTATTTGATACAAAGTCGTTAACATGTTTTATACTGAAAGCTACAAAATAGCAAGAATAGCTTATTTCTTTGTTCATTCTTTCTTTACCCTCATCAGTGCTCACCACCACATGCAGAATAAACCTGGAAAGCGTATCTTTCTGGCTTCAACATACATAGAGTAATTTATGTGTCTGTTTCCAGCTTGATAGATTTATAAAAGATTGTTGCTAGGTCCCCTCTTTTTATAGAGTACGACATAACTAATTCAGAACTGAAATACTGCTTTATTAGAGTTGGTGTCTAAGACTTGCAGTGGTGCATCTGAAAGAGACATTGCTCCAGAATTCTTCTGTTTTCAGTTCCAAAAACTGAGTCAAAGATAGGCTTCAGTATGTTCCATCTTTGCAAAAGTAAATACAAGATATTAGGTATGTGTGGGTTCATTGAAAAGATTAAGGATTTTTCTTTTTGAGTAGCAGAGCAGTTGGTGAGTTGGTTTTTTTTTTGCTTTTCTTCTTGATTGAGAGGGTAACCAGCTAAATAAGTTTACTTGTCTTTTAGTTGGAGGTAGTGTTCTGCTTCAGTTGTGTTGAAGGTGTGTTTCAGTTTTTTAATTTATTTACTTCTTCCCCTTCCAAGCTTGGGTCATCTGTTGGGTGAGAAGTGACATAAACCGTTTGTAATTAGGGACTTAAACTCAGCCTGCAAAGTAGATTCAGGGTGGACTTTTTTTTCCCCTGTAAGTTTGTATGTAATGTGTAGAAGAGAGCTCAACACCGAATGAAGAAAATATGGTGAGTGCTAGGTTTTCCTTCTGGGCTTTGCTGCTGTTGTGTAATTGTTGATATATTTTATTGAATAAAGCTGGAAGAGCTGAGGAAAACTCACAAACTAGGTCTGCCCTTCTCCTCCCCACCCCCACATAAACCTGTGTTTTTGTGTTAGGATCCTAGAGGATTTGTTACAGAAATTGCATGATCTGTGTCTAAATCAGCAGCTCTAATCTGTGCTTTTTGATAAACGTAGGTGCTTCTGTTTGCAGATGCACTTGATGCTATGTAAAGAGATAGTGTATAACTTGTCAAGCAAAATAAAGAAAGGAATGGGAGGAGAAATTGTAAAGGTCACTTCCTTTCCCTAATCTTTTTCTTCTTAAGATGCGAGTATGAGAGAGAACTTGGGTATAATTGGTTGCCTTTGATTTTTAAAGGGCAGAGTATGATAAATATCTTGTTCTATATGATATCTAAATAATATGTTGTTCTTTTGAACTCTATAGTGTTTCTTATGAAAAGGAAAACTGAGTGTCTTTTTATGAAAAATGTTCAGATAGTCTGGCAGTGTTATTTAATTTTTATATGCTTTCAGAAAGGCCTACAACGTATTGCTCTTGTTGTAGGAGCTGTTCAGTTAGGACACTCGGAATCTGCATATTAGTGTGATTTGAAAGGCACCTTTGAGTAACACTTCTAAATATTTTCCTGCATTTGTTGGAAGATGCATTCTAAAAAAAGCAAACTCGAGAGTGCTTGATCCTTTGTTGGCAAGTACCTTTTTTTCCCCATACTATAATTTGTCATTTAATATACAAGTAAACCAGAAACATCTACTGCACTATTTAGTGGTTATGGGAGGGAGATGGAGCATATCTGTGGTGGTGATTTTCTGATGACCTCTTGCTCGCCTATGAAACTAGTTTTAAAGCAACCATCTTCTGGTTTTGAACTTCTTTGGGCAAGTAACTATTGCAGACTAAAGTTTAATATCCCTATATCTAATCAAATCGCTAAAAATAGGACTGCTAGAGAAAAGCTTGCTTTGCTTAAATACGCTTAAACAAACTGTTTTGTTGTCTTCTCCTGCTGTCTAAATGCAGAAGTTAGCATTAGCCTGTGATAGTGTTGTCGTGGTATTGCAATTGGAAGTCTCTAGGACAGCAGAGTAATCGGTTAGCAATGCAGTCCTGATACTCATGATACTAATCTTGTGCTTCACTCTGCTCCGCACAGCTCGGTCCCACTGTAGGGAGCAGTGGTGTGTGCCCAGCCTGTACCTCTGGCTGGGGACGGGGAGGAGCTGGTGGAGGGTGAGTGTCTTCTGTCTGCAGCAACCGTCAGTGCTCTTTTGCCTGTCAGAGCACCAGGGGAGAGGTGTTCCATGTGGTCAGCAGGGTTGTGTGCATCTTGGGAAGGGGTTTCCTTGAGAGTTGTGCTTGTTGGAGTATTTCATATTCCAGCAGTGAAGAGGGCAACTCGTCAAAACCTTCTGTTTCAGCCTCTTGCCAACACACACAGTCTTGCAATAATGTTGGACAGGTTGGTGGGCTGCGGGCTGATGAAAGGAAGAGCAATACATCTCTGTTACCACGCACAAAAAAGTCTGAGTGGTGTGAGTATGCTTACTGGCATAATCTGGCATAATGATGCAGTGCTTAATAAAAAGTGAACTAATCCTAAGGTATTGCCTGTTAACTGTTCTGTGTCAGCCAGCAAGGTGACATTTAAAGAGTGTCTGAGAATTGTCAAGTTTTGTCAAGCGAGGAGAATTTCCCTTTCCTCCTTCTTTGTTATTCAGCCAAGTAGAGTAAAATTGAGATTTGGATTTTTAGTTGTGTCCCCTCTCCTCTTCCCTCAAGTGATTTAACATTTATTGGCTGATTTGTACGTGTGATTAAGTAGTGGCTACTCTGTAATTTTTTTCATCAGTCATACTTCTTTTTTCTCTAATTCAAAATCTTCTTTGTTTCCATTTCATCAGTCAACAGCCTCAACTCCTCTAATCTTCTAAGAATGTGAATATTTTTGTCTTCCAGAACTGTAAAGGATACAGGTGGAGTTGCTGTGACAACACTTCCTCGGTGCAGACAGCATGTGCTGTCTGTGCTGCTTCTCATGACAAGTCGGCCCCTCTCCTCGGGCAGGAAGTGCAGCAGAAGCTGGAGAACAGCAGATGAGATAAAGTAAATGTTTTTGCCCCAAATAAGGCAGGAGGTGTTATTTCAGGAGACTTATCTGTGCCTCTAACCCTGCCATTGTTTTCTACCCTCCTCTGTTACTACAGTGTGATTTTTAACTGGCAATATTTTG